TGGCACACTATCTCTGTGCATTAGCACAACGTTATTCAAAGGAAAGTGTTTAAAATCTGCTCAGTCGACTGTGAACCCACCGAATGAGAAAATGTGAGGAGTGAAGTAGCGTAAACAATCAAGACCTCTAAAAGAGCAGCAGCGAGGGAGTGAGGAGACAACAGCTCATTACAGCACAATTTAGTGACTGGACTGTTTACGCAGCTTTAGGATGGAACAGAATAATTATAATGTATTAAGTCTTTATTTGTCTGATAGTTGGCAACTAATCTCAGAAAGAAACATATTTCAATTAAATTTAAACTGATTAGATTGTGATGCAGATCACACGTCCATGTGGTTTATTTTATACAGCGCTTTATGTTTTTCTTTTACTCAACCGTTAAAAGAAAAGAGCTGAAACAATTCTTCTATTAATCAATTAGCCAATCAGAAGAAAAATGTGGTTAACATTACACATGCTTACTGAAGCAAAACATTTTCTGGCCTCAGCTTTTTTTTTAATTGAATTTTTTGGGGTTTATTTTGTTGGTTGGACAAGACAAGATATCCTTAAGACCTTTTTATTTTTAGATTTCAGAACCTGTGATGAACATTTTATAGAGTAATCAAAAAAAATAATCCACAGATTAATTTCTAATGAACTACTACTCCCTACATGAGAAACAAAATTCCTCAGTACAACACACTACCTACCCACACTACCGGTACTTGACTTCAGCCGTCTTCAACTAGTTGAAATATTTAGTTTTTGATATTCTGTACCGTTTTCCTAGAACTGTCTAGCCGCAACTTTTGTATTAGTGACTAAATTTAGACGCCATGTGCACAAATCAAGTGCACAAGTGGTGGATTTCATCAACGTGGTGCTATAGCAGCGTGATAAATTAAAATCATTACTCAGTGGTCATGAGTTGTACTTGACATTTTGCACAAGGAAAAGAAGTATTCCCTTCAATACTTTCCACTTTATAGTCAAAGTTGAGCGGTTTATGCAGCATTGAGAGAGAACACAATTACAAATGGAAAAAATAAATTTCTGTAATACAAGAAGGAATGTCTCCCTTTTCTTGACTCTATAATTGCGTATATTTCTTAAAATATCAGTTAAATGGGATTCATATGAAGAAAGTGTGTGTGCATATCAAGTACTTGTGAGAGGTACAGTGTGTTTTTCCACCTGCAGAGAGAGTAAACACCACTGTGTGACACCTTGTCATATTGGTCATGGTTGAATACACACACAGGCACACACACACACACACACACACACACACACACACACACACACACACACACACACACACACACACACACACACACACACACACACACACACACACACACACACACACACACACACACACACACACACACACACACACACACACACACACACACACACGTGTCTTGCTGTGCTCACGAGGGTGATTGTCACCATATCACAGGGGTAGCATCTGACCTACACACAAACTCCCCCTTTTAGTCTGCCTCCCTCTCCTCCCCCCCCCTTTTCTCAGTATCACCAATTCTTCATCCCTTCTTTTCCCCTCATTAGTGTTCATTCCCCGCATCACTCTTTCCCCCCTTCTCCCTCCATCTCTCTCCACTCAGAAGTAGGGCACAGTGGCTCGACTGTTTATAGCAATGCAGCTGCAAGCAGGGGGGAGAGAGGGAGAGAGAGAGAGAGAGAGAGAGAGAGAGAGAGAGAGAGAGAGAGAAAACACAGGAGGGAGGAAGAGAAACAGAGAGGAGCAGGAAGAGAGGGCACACAGTAAAATGTGTACAGGCAGGCCAGTTTAATATTTCTTTACAGTAATAAAAGAGCACACATGCACGCACACACACACACAACCTTTTTTTTCCTTCAGAATCACCATTTAAGCCAGTGTCAAAGTCTCCATTTATGACAGCATGATCAAGATGTTATATACATAAACACACAGTGTACCTGCCACAAATCATTGGCTGATCTTATTACCTTGTATCCCCGTTTAATCATTAATCCAACTAACAGGTTAGCAGCAGTGATAATGTGAAATTACTGTACATTTCTACCTTTAATTAACAGCAAAAAATATATATTTTACATAAAATACATAAACTAAAATTTGTAGTTGTAGTTTGCTTGTTTGAATTAAAAACAAAAACGGTTTCCTGGTAGTTGCACGAGGGGCAGATTTTCTATTGGTTCAAGTATCTAAATAAGATCAATTTCAATTTCTAGAATTTGCTAGAATGAAAACTGGGACAAACAAATAACAAATCCAATTTACTCCAGCAGACAGTACAGCGGAAACTCTAGTTTTCTATCTCTACCCACTGAATCCTTCCTTCTCACATAGCTAATCCATACCACACTCACCATGTCAGTCTGAGAGTAATAACAGGATAACTAACTTGCACTTATGGATGTGAAGATAATCATCTTCTCGAACGAGGCTGTGTATCTTTTAACAATAATATCAGAGTAGTAAGTAAGTAATAACAGTGTTCGAGTCAATCAACATGTACTAGCACCAAAACTGAATTGTACATTCATCCAAAACCCAAATTAACCCCCACTACGGCTTCTGCAGAACAATGAGAGAGAACTCGCTGCTTAAAGCTGTAATCAAACCGCAAGCTGCATCAGTAATTATCCTGAGGAGCTCATTTCATTTCATATGAGCCGAAGCAGAGCAGACGGTCTCCACTATCGCTATCACTGTCATCTTGTACGCCTTTACTTTGCTCCTTTATTTATCCGTTTTAATCTTCCTTAAACTGACCGCTGATGTTGTGTAACAACACGTGTTAGATAACATCAAACAAAACACATCCAGTAAAGGTTGTGGTTGTAGAGATGTGGCGATATCTAGCTAATCTGTGCCACATGGTTATGTACAAAAGGAAAGTGGTATGATAATCCAGAAGGAGTTGTTTATAAGTCATTTTAAAGTCCCTCTCCACTCATTGCTACTTCACTTGGATGTGTGAGCTTCAATGACAAGAATGATGTATGCGTAGCTTCTGACATCCAAAGACTGTTTGCACACTCATCTGTTGAAGGAGGAAAGTTTCTCTGTACTCACTTTAAATCAGTTATTCAATTTAAAACCTCTTCCTAGAGCAGGATTTTGTGACATCACAACCAGTTTGAGAGCCAATCATTGTTCAATATGGGACTTACCCAAGCATGGTGTGATGTGTGTGAAGCTCTTCCAGTGCACATACACTGAGAAGAAGACTTTTTACTGACGCAGGAGACATCTTGTGTCCAGCAGTTAAACTTATGAAATGAACAATATATGCACACTCATAGATTATCAATTGTCCAATGATACAGAAGTAACAGATGTAATTTTAAACATTTTAATACAGAAATTTAATGTTTTTGTGTAAAAACCATATCAGACAAAAATTATTATTAAAAGGCAAATTATTTCTATATAATTTAAAACATGTCTGGAGGGAATCTTAAAGCTTTGGGGCCATTCTGCGTAAATGCTGATGGAACACAGTAAGAACTAATAAAGAAAGTGGAAGGGGTACTCAGCACATACACAAAAGTATGCCACTAATAAATCATCACAAATAAAGAAATGACTACTTTATCATACTGTCAGACTGAGGACACTAACACTGCATCAAGTTACTTTGCACCTTCCTCTGTTTAGTTCTCCATTAATAATTCTTCATTAAAAGAACACTGAGTATGATTTAAAGGTATCCTGTGGAGTTTTATGACCACTAGTGGCGCTATGGAGTAACAAATTTGAGTGAATCCCCTGTTTTGTTTGTAGCGTGCACACAAGGATGTACACGTAGACACAGTACACAACCTGCCACCTCATGTTACTCTGCAGATCGACAGCTGGAGCCAGCGATGCATCAATAAAGGCAGCGAAGAAGAAGAAAACCACAAGCTAGCAAACATAGATGTAAACAATGCATGGTTTGAAATATTTTTTTTTAAATTGGCTTTGCAAATGTTTTATGAGGGTTTGTTAGACCTCAAGAATACACACAATGTGTTCTGGTGAAAAACACTGAAAGTAAACACACTTTTAGTTTGTTTTTAAGAAAACTCCTAAGAGCACCTTTAAGTGTTTAATGCCTGGAGGTCTTAGTCAGATCTAACCAGTCCAAGGTTTAAGAACATAAAATACTTTAAATTAACTACTGAGAGTTGATATTTGCAGTAAGAGGACTGTAAGAAGACACATGAGTAACTATTAACAAGGCAATTATTTCATCTTGTTGCAGGAGCTCATAAATCATAAGCCAGACAGAGCCACTAAGCAATGAGAGATTAATTATACAGCTGGAATATGACTAATACATACACATACATAATACTAGAGTGCACACAAAGAGACTTGCATGGTCACCTCTCTCACCCTAATACTCCTTTGCTCATCTGTAGGTCACAGATGATCATGGATGCAGGCAGATGACACAAAGCGACACACACACACACACACACACACACACACACACACCTATATAGTATATTCCTACATGCATACAGTCCCTACAAACGGACAGCACCACTGAGTATATTAATCCAATTGGTTTCTCCAACAACACACACCCACGCATAAAGACAGGAGCAGGAGACACTTACTGATTTTCTCCTCCGCTTGGGAGAACGGGAAGCAGCACAGTTGACCCATGGCGCCTCCTTCCCTCTCCTCCTGTTCCCCTCTCCCTGATGTTCCCCCTCTTTTTTCCTCTTCCCCTTCTTCTAAGACAAAGATATGGAGCAAGAGTCCTGCTTCTCCCCCTGTCTCTCCCACTCTTTATCTCCCTCTCTCCCCTTCTGTGTCACTCTCCCTCCCTCCCCCCCCTCGAAGGACAAATGCACCCGGTGACGATGGAGCCAACAAAAAAACCCTCCCTTTCCCTCCGTGCAGCCCGAGGAAGACCGAGCAAGTCAGCAGACGATGAAAAAATGAACGACTGGCTCCTTGCTCGCGCTCTACTTTGCACTGACACAAGGAGGAGGGGTGTGTGTGTGTGTGTCAGAGAGAGAGAGAGAGAGAGAGAGAGAGAGAGAGAGAGAGAGAGAGAGAGAGAGAGAGAGAGAGAGAGAGAGAGAGCGAGCGAGCGAGAGAGAGAGAGAGAGAGAGAGAGAGAGACGGAGGGTGAAAGAAAGAAGAGAATGGGAGAGCTGGAGTGTGTGTGTATGAGACAAAAAGAGTAATTTTTTTAGGTGTGTGCGGAGGGGAAAGTGGAGGAGGGATATGTAAAAGATAGAAGGTGTGTGTGTGTGTGTGTGTGTGTGTGTGTGTGTGTGTGTGTGTGTGTGTGTGTGTGTGTGTGTGTGTTAATGTCTGCGTATGTGTGGCTGAAAGGGGACAGAGGAGGAGGGGTGTGTTGTGTGAGCAAGCTTAAGTGTATATTCAAGAAAGAGAAAGAGTGAGCATGCTTACGAGTGTGGCAAGTGTGTGGAAGAGGAAAAGGGAGCAGTATATATGAGGAGACAGCAGACACTACCCTCTCTCTGTGTGTGTGTGTGTGTGTGTGTGTGTGTGTGTGTGTGTGTGTGTGTGTGTGGTGTGGAGGGGGAGGGGGGCTCCAGACTCCACCTCCCCTCGTCACCAAAGCTTGAATAATGGTTGTTGAATAGCTGGCACAGCTGCTGCCTGCTACTGCATGTATCTGTTTTATTTATGAGAACTGTAATGGTATTTTGTGTCAGCCAAGTATTCTAAAAGGAGTAATAATAATAAAAATCTATCAAAATTAATTTTTTTTAAAATAAATCAATTTCGAGGTTAAAGCAACTACATGGAACTTTATTTTGTCTTGATTTTTCTATTATTGTTTGCAAGATGCAAACCAATGAGGTAACTTGTAAAATGTGTAAAATTAATAGTTGAGAAAGTTATCAACATTAATATTATGTCTTCATAATAATAAGCCAACAGCAGGTTTTAGCTCAGATACATTATGTTACATTATAAGCCATTTGTACTAAAGTAATATCCACTGTGATTTTGAGGGGAATCTGACCCGGTGACTGGCATTAACAACAACTACACAGAAACAGTCTTCTCACTAATGGACTTGTTTGTTTATGTAGGTCATATAGAGGCAGCAGTATAAAACTGAGACTGTTTCATAACCAGTTTAAACTACTTTTTTGTAGCACAAAGTAAAGATGGGTATCCCTAGGTGAGGGTCGAGGGAATATGGAGACGCGTAGATTGTGAGCAGTTTCACATTTATATTCAGGTGATTTCATATCATCTTGTATTCTGCAGTCATTCATAAAATGCTGCAAATGTAATGAATAATAGATAACACAATGTGTTATTCACCTCCTGAACCTAGCTGAGCTCGACCCGATGGTGTCAGGCTGTCACGCTGTTATTTCTTTAATTCCACCTGCCTCGAATGAGCTTTGGTTTCTTTTTAGTGTTACTCCTCCAAAACCTTTCATCTTCTTAGCTTGCTGTCAAAGCCTGAAAATAAAGACAATTATTTGGCAACACTTAATAATCAATTAATCAATTATTACAACATATTGTAGACTAATTAATTGTTAATGACAACAATCGTCAGCTGCAGTCTTGATTATTTTTATTCTATTATTTGTATAAAATAAGTGATTCCTAAGACTGACAGCAGGATCAGGGCTGATGCCTGGCAGATACAGAATATTTCAGTGTTTTAGTGCAGCCATACTCTCTGTATGCTCATAACTGACTATTCCTGGTTAGTTTTTCTCATTCTCATCATTAATTGAATATATCACCATACCTCAATCAATGCTTAATCCCACTGCATGACGTTGGCAGCATCGCTGGATATTTGCATAGTGAGTCTCAGTGTCTGCACTGCACTTTGATGTAGTGGCCTGAAACGAGCGCTCACAGTCGGAGCTCGGTGTAGTCTGGCAGTGTGAGTTGTTAGCACTGATTGAAAGCTCTATTCTGACAGAGCAAAGCAAAAAAAAAAAAGGGCTAAGAGTCAAACATACCACCAGGCTCTTTGAAGTTCCTGAGCATGAAAGAAATGGAGTTTGCACTGATTAGCAAATGTAGCAAGACGAGTTTAGTTTGATGTGAAATGGAGTAAATTTGTTCTTCCACAGTGTCAATTCAATTTTATTTTTTTGTAAAGCAGCAATTCATAACAAAAGTTATCTCAGGACACTTTTCAAATAGAGCAGGTCTAGACTGTACTCCTTATAAAATAATTTACAGAGACCCAACAGTTCCCACCATGAGCAAGCACTTGGCGACGGTAGCAAGGTAAAAACTTCCTTTTAAGAGGCAGAAACCTAGGGCAGACCCCGGCTCTAGGTGGATGGCCGTCTGCCTCGACCACGATACAACTCATAAACTCAAATCAACCACGTGTAACAATGAAGACAAAAAACGTGTTACTACCCAGTGCCAATGCAAAGCTATTTCATTTGCTTTGCTAATTAAAATGTTGCGATACTGCAGGCTAGGTGTGCAGAAAACACAATCAGGAAATCCCTGATCCCTATGACACTTCCTCTGTGGAAATTCACACTTAATTCAAAACTGTGGGCTGCTGAAGAAAATGCACCCATATAACTCTACTACTCTAAGGCTACTTTCCAGCTCTGCATGCCAACCTGCTCTCTGCAACTATCAGCAACAAAATCTGATATTCTAAAATTTAAAATGTAAAGAAAAGTTATTCATAAGATGCTTGTTCTGTTGCAATGTGTAACTCGACGTAAAATGATGAGGCTGAAGGTAGAAAAGTGATCGAAAAAAATGCTTTTCAACCATAAGGATACGGTTCAAGCCCTCTCGACAGCACCCTTCAGCAGCTCTGCTGATGAGCCCTTGAGTGCAAAACTCAATCTCCACCATTTCCAGGGAGGCTTTTTTTGTTGCTGCATGTGCACCACCCTGAAGGTGAGGCCTAGTTAAAAACACATCTCTACTCCTCAGAGTTAATGGAGGATTACAAACAAGGGGTAAGGGGATGTGAGTGTGAAGAGATGGAAGATGTTGACACACACACACACACACACACACACACACACACACACACACACACACACACACACACACACACACACACACACACACACACACACACACACACACACACACACAAGCACACCACATACATTGTATTGCATTATGCACTGACCTCAGCTGTGTGAGTACACAGTGGAGCCCTGTCTCCAACAGCAGCATTCAAATCACAGCTGCCACTTTACACACACACACACGCACACGCACACACACACACACACACACACACACACACACACACACACACACACACACACACACACACACACACACACACACACAGCTGTGATGACTGCTATTTGTAGGGCTTAAGTGTTGTCATTGACAAGGCCAAATTGCTATTGAGTGTCAGCTGTACTGTTCCCATATGTGTACATGAACACATCATACCCCGCATACACACAGACATAATCCAATTGATCTGTGCTTTTTAATGGTTGGTACCATCAGGTTATTATTAGTATCTAAAACCATTAATCACAACCAGGTAGAAATGACATGTTGATTATTAAAGCACATAAAGAACATGTCATTTATGGATGTATTAATTCTCTCTATCTGTACATATTTCTTTCCTGTAACTACAAGACAGCTTGAGGGCAAATCAACACAATGGAAATGTATGTTATATGCAGTAACGTGCAGGTTTGTGAGTACCTGTGTAAGAGCCACATTCAGCACATTTTCAAAGCAGAGAGGCAGAGAGAGAGAGAGAGAGAGAGAGAGAGAGAGAGAGAGAGAGAGAGAGAGAGAGAGAGAGAGAGAGAGAGAGAGAGAGAGAGAGAGAGAGATGACTAAAGAAACACTGCAACAGTGTTGACTTTGTTTAGCTGAAGGTCGACTCCGTGCCTCAGTACTCAGTCACAAGACAGGTTATGTACATAAAGAGAATAAGACAACTGCATGCTGCAGATAACAGGGACTTCAGTCTGCTGCGTGATATGGCCTACTGTTTATCATAATACTAATAATTGACTGTAGTCAGGCAAACGCAAATGCACAAAAGAAAAACATCCAATGCACACACCATGAACAAGCACAAAAACAAGTGCCTGATAATAATGTTAAGCCTGTGTGTGACATGCCTACCATTTTAGCATTTATACTACAACAATTAAACAGGCACAGCCACACAGTGCCACGTGTCCAGCAGTTTTGCTACATATGATATGTATTTAGTGCTGGTATAAACACCTGGTAAAGTATTTTACTATTCCAAATATACATGTGTGGTAAAGCTATAGGAAACCCCTCAGTGTTCTTACTGTTCTTGCTCATTGCTCCCCTGCTGTATCTTTATTTCTTGGTTCAAACCATTGACAGTACGGTTCAAACGTTCAGCTCTCAGGAGTTAAAAATGCGTTGGTTCCACTGTTGGTATTTTGCGGTGCTCAGGAACATGGGATTTTTTTCCCCAATTGAATTATGAATTGGCCCTACCATTAAATTACCTGGCCAGCTAGAACACCATTCATATTTTAATTATAGCTGTACCTTTGGGTGGAAAAAAATATAATTTTAAAGCCTGATTGCTTCTCTAATTGCCTCTCTCTGTCTCTCTCACACACAATGAAAACTACAGGCCTTGTCATGCTGTTCACTGGTTTATTGCGTTCAACTGATTTAGTAAATCTAATGTGAAGCTGCATTTTTCCCTCGTGCTCCGTCAGCATTTACTCACACTCCAGTGGACAAGCTGACCATTCAGTTAATTGTTGGGTTGAATGCAACTGCTCTGTGGTATTTTTATTTGCTCATCCAGACTGTTCAGGTTATTAAAGCTTCTCTGAATCAATCCTACAGTTCACGGCTGTGGGGGTTTTCTGTTATGTTCACTGCTGTGGGTTTGTATTTCTGCAACAGCTTGAGGTTGTTTGCATTCTGGACATAGACTTCTTAATTTTATTTCCTAATTGAAACGTTTTTAATGGCAATCAGATTTGAATCAGAAAAGACTAAACTATGGTCATTTAAGGGTTATTAAGTTTAACAGGAAATTTACAGATCCGAAAAAGACATTTTTCTAGATCAAGCTTCCTAAAAAAACTGGTTGATTTCCAAAGTTACAGTTTTCACATGCTGCAGCAAAACAAAAGTTCTTCTCATCCAAGTAAATCTTCAAAATTATCAACACTAAAATAAAATGTTTAGAGACAGTCAGGCAGAGAAACAAAGGGAGTTAAACATTTTCCAAAAACAGAAAACCTGAGGGACATTTCTCCCTTTCTAAACCCTTATCCAATCTTTCTCCGTCTGTCGCTGTACTTTACTATTATTCCTCTCCCTTTCTTTCCATCACACCGTCTGACACTGTCTTTGCTTGACCCATGTCGGCCTCCTTGCCCCTGCCTTTAATATCAAACTAATGTCACCTTCACTCAGACTCTCAATTTTTTCTCTCGCCGTCTGTCTGGCCATCCTATCTGCTGTTCTCATCCTTGCTATCTGTTTAATTCTACTGCTTCTGCTATCCCATTCTCCTCTCCTCTGTCTCTCCTTTCTCTTGCCATACTCATTTATCATTGTTGTTTAATCTCACTTATTCCTTGCTCTATCCTCTTCAATCTCCAAAGTCCCTCCATCCTCCTAGCTGCGCAGTCAATGCTGCTTTCGTTTCTCCTTCTTCCCTTGTCTGCCTCTTTCTTTCTTCTCTCATCTGCTTAATCTCACTCCAGCCCTTCTCCTATCCTCTTAACATTCACTACTGCAAGCACTAAGATGCAAGGTATTTACTGTTTGCTGTTAGTGAAGATTCAGACACCAACATGCGATAACATACTGGCATACTACGCATAAGGTTTATTATTCTTGCTTTACCAATATTTGAAAAGAGACACAGAAGACTACAAGTTTGACCCAGACCAATCCTAACTTGCCATCTTTCAGGGTCCAAATAGAGTAGATTGGGAAGGAGAGTCTAGGGACCGACTTCTCCGTTCACCTGGTAGCACCACAAAAGTCCCAGCCAGTACTGATACATGTGCCTGGTAGAACATCCCTTTCTCTTACTTCAACAACAACATCTTCTAGAAGTTGTCAAAGGCATGTTGGCCTTTATTTTGGGACGTCATGAAGGCAGTTTCAGATGCTGTAGTGGTTGTCTTTTACCGTGACACGACACAGGATAAACCAAACAACTGCCAAACCTGTCGGGCCATTATCTGGTCGATATCTTGTAGTCTGACAAGTAAATACGGTCTTAACGATATGACATGAATGTGGCATAAGCAGGACAACATACATCTAAGGATAGACTGTTGGATTACCATTAATATTTCTTGCCCTCAGCTGTGTTAAATTGTTGAAGTGATGAAATTTCTAAAAGGTTCAATCATGTGAAAATGCAATGCTGCTGTGGTATGAGATGGATATATGCAATACTACAACAAAGGCCATATTCAGATGCTCTCTAATGAATTAGGAATGTGGATGCCTGCTCACTCTAATGAATTACAGAAAAGAGAAAGAGGGTGAGTGGGAGGATAAGGAAGAGCGATGAGGGAGTTTGAGAGTCTATTCAGTACAATTAATTATTAGAAACAGAGCTAGTAGTGATGATCATTCCATGAGGAACGCCTTAAAGAAATAAGAATATATATTTATATTTCAGGCTGACCACTTTTGGTTTGTATTCATTTTTGTCCCCATGGTCCCAAAAGACATACTTGGTGGCCCTCGTATAACAAGCTTAAAGAAACGCTATTGGGAATTCAAAGTGAAGAGAAAAAAGGGGAAGAAAATGCAAATGACCTGCTGAGTCACAAGAAATAATAGTTTATTTATCCAATTTTCCCCAGCCATGTTACTTTTAATATTCAAGTCTTTTCAGTATCAATATTATTTTTATCATAAGGATTTTAGATATTAGTTGAGTGACCAAAAAATAAATAACTATCCATCGAGTTCATTGACTGCATTTTGACATCAATTCTGTTATTTTCTTTAGCCCATTGACTGTGTTTAGTGTATTTTATCTGAATGAATTCAACCATCTCCAACTGGACATGATAGTGTCTATAAGTTTTTATATTACATTTTACATTTAAGGCCCCAATAATCCCCAAATACTATTCCTCAATATCAGTCTTAATGCATCAGTTAACGGATTCAATATTTCACCATGAAGAAATTAGTCCACTTACATGGAAATGAGCAAATTGCGTCATCTGGCACTCGCGGCTGGCGACTGGAAAATGAGTGCTGCCAAAGACTCGTTTTATAGGAAAAAGCAAAGCAGCACAGTGTGTACAGAAGTGAGTGACCTTATCTCAATGAAATACCAAAGGGTCACAGATCAACAAACCACCTTCATCTGTCCACGTGTGCAAGCTGTTTGAGTCGGTGTGCTTCTGTATGCATATATTTATGCCTGTGTAGATGTGTTTCCGTACTGTATGTAAAGCTGTGGGTGAGTGTGTTGTACCGTAAATACCAATAGGCCGTGACAGGAGCTATACCTACCAGTCTACTGAGTATTACCTCAACTTTACAGGCCGACTGGAAATGTCACACTGACCATTTATGTGTGTATGTAAGAACACAAACAAGTAAAGCCATGACATTTTGGAATTTCTCTCTCAACCTTTTTTTTTCCTTTGGCCTTTCAACTACCCATTTTTTGCATCGTTTCAGGCTAACTGAAAGGAGTTTAAACATTACTTACTTTTTTTCCCCCAACAAGGACCTTCTGAAGTGACATGACAAGTATGGTGACTTGTCACGGAGCAGAAAACAGCAAGGACCGATTATCTATCTCTTAAACACTCATTTATTTAAATACCTCCGTTCTTCTGCTTACATTAACATCACAATCCATCAGAGCAGTGTGGAAAAAGAATGAGAAGAGATTTAGTGTGTGTTTTTGTTCTAATAAACTTTGTCCCGAGTTATAAACATTCATCCATCGGTTTAAACAGAAGTGGACAGGGCAACACAATATTTTATGCCATTTTTTCTTCTTCTTCTCTAGTATATAGAACAGAGGGGAGAGGAAAAAAAACATGAAAGCAGGAAGGAGAACAACATGTGACAAAGGTTGCAAGCCTAATGTAGTACCAGTGTTATTCCATTAGGTTACAGACATTAAAGCGGCTATAATGATATTTTTATATTAATGTCAAAGTGGTTGCTTGTAGTGATTCATCTACAGAGAATTACCACCTAAATCTGCAGCTGCCCTTGGCTTTACAGAGTTTTATAGTGAGTTTAAACCCTATTAACTCTCAAAGCGTAGTTTTCAGAAGACACATTTAAAACATGAACACAGTGGAGAGTTTAGCAGCTAAAGAGAGATATTTCCCTCTGGGGTTAATAGAGAGCAAAAATAGCGCTAAAAGAGAGTTAATATTGGACTAACATTCATCAGGTGTCCAAAACACAACTCTGAGACAAAAGACGATAATGTTGCTACATGACAGCTGGATGTATAAATAAACAACTGTTTGCTAACAAGTTTGCTATATTAATTTAAAAGGTGGCGATATGTCTTGATTTGAATTCCCCCAAGTTGGCAAGTTTTATTTTGTTTTTGAAATGTGATCACAAATAGCAATTTAATGTATTTACAGTCTGTAATTAGTATTTATTGTTAGTGGCCAGGACAGGATTACAATGACCTTTGTGCATTAAATGTAATCCAGGGTTACTGTTTGTAATTTTATGATAACAGCCTCACTCTGTTCATGTAAAACCAAATCAGTTTGTTTGGCTGCACTGTAAACAGATACACCAGCCGCTCTTTTCTTCACCCTTTCCTCTGACTGTCCTTATATTCTGGCTTCCTCCCCCATCCCCACACAAACACACTATTGGGTTTTGTATTACAGGCTCAGTTGTGGATTATGTTGTACTGTGGATTATGGGATTAACACACACACACACACACACACACACACACACACACACACACACACACACACACACACACACACACACACACACACACACAGTCACTGACCACTGTACACCAACAGAAAAAGCACACTGAACCTCAGAGGAACCGTGTGAGCAACAGGAATGTAGAGCAGGTTAGACCCAGCAAGAATCAATTCAACCAGGAGATATCACTTTCTCTGGTGTAATTTACACAGGGTGATATCATATAAAGCAGCAGTATTAAACTCTGTGGTACTATCTAGAGGATACATGAAACTATTTCTTCCAAGTCTACCAACCCCACATACAGTCCATATTTGATTAGGAATACAATATCTAATGTATGACGTTATTCTTATTCAATAATTTATAAGTAATCTAGATGTTGACAAAAGTATGCAATAGCTGCCCCCTAATTTCAATTATTCATGTTATTAGTGAATTATTAGTTATCTCTCAGTTGAATTTGTTGAATTGTTGACTAAGGAGTCAATTCTTTATTCCCTGCTGCATCAATGTCTACATTGAGTAATAAGAATGCTGAGTAATTGCTTACCTATAGAGAGCAATGCCATCCAACTAAGTGTTAAGTACTGTTCACTGTGGCTTTACACTACAGAAATGTACAGCTCTACCATTCATAAACCACAGGTATTCAGACTGATTCATGTGTTCTCCTATCTTCCCTGCAGCCACTGTTTTCAGGTCATGAAAAATGTCTTCAATCTAACAACTTTAAACCTACTGTATGCTTTGGAAGTTGTCCGTGCTAGTTTGTTGACATATTCTTCTGCAGTACAGCTGGCTAAACTGGCACTACCAGTTTCTCTTCAAGTTGTTATAAGTGTTGTAATTATTAGGTCAGTTACCTGATTATCTAAAAATACATCTAGGATATTGGGATGTGAAGGTCTAACCTTGCCTCACCCCTCCATATAGATGTCTGTCATGTCAATAAAGTGTCCCAGTGCCCCAACACCTCTGTGCATGTGCGTCAGTGAGCTCTAATACTCAATTTATCCTGCATTAATTTAGTAACATGCTGTGTGTGCAGGCCAGTGCCTCGGAAGAGCTAATGTTCAACCACCACCATCTGCCTCCAGCTGCAGTTCCTTTGATGGTCACTAGATGTTGTCTCCAAGAACAATCTTAATGAAGAACTAAATTCAAAAAGCACAAACTTCCAAAAAGTACGATGCAACTTTTGCAGAAAGGCAAACGCTGTGGCTACTGCAGGATAATCTCACATTTAATTTCCTTTCATTTTCCAAGATTCTCTTGAGTCATTTGCTTTAAATACATCATCATTAGGTGACCTGACTGAGAGCGAGTGGAATGGGACCACATGCAGGTTTCTTTTACTTTGTGATTATGCCATTAAAAGAGAAGGGAAGAGCCAAGTTAGAAAACTGACTTAACAATGTCAACTACACAACAATATTTATCTAAGGTTGCAAACAAGCTACTGGTAACACCAGACCAAAAACAAGTGGAGGGTGTATTTTATTTCTTACAAATGGTGGATGGTGGATTCTTTTAAATTTAAATAGTTGTTATTTAAAAAGCTTATGTAACTTTTAGGCTTGCAGCAGACACAAACTTTATTTGTACAAACAGAGAGCATTATAACTCAGTATTTAGCGCCACGCTGTGTGCTGTGAACAGTGCACTATAATATCAGAGAAGTGAATGCAGAGCTCAGTTTTACCTCTCATGCATTTTAAATATGTATGTATTGTTGTGAAAAACACTTGACAAAAACACAAGCTTTTTGAGGATGAGAAGTGTGAGGTAAACATCCCCCTGCTCTGTCTGTCACTCCCACACACACTCTTTGTCTTGCACAGACAACCCAGTGATCCACAAAACATTGTGACAGCCTAGTTCCACTCATGCTGACAGCGCCACACACACACACACACACACACATTAGTGCATCTACTTGACAGTGGGACTTGGGGAGTACCTGTCAATCCATTATAAACTGTATATGTGAATGTTTGCCTGTGCTCATATGCACTTGGAGGTATACACTAATCCTGTTCATGATAACAATGTGATAATTAATGAATGTATGTGTGGTTATTGGTGATCCTGAACAACAAATGCAATAAATAACCAGTTTTCTTCTCAATAAGATTTAAAAATGGCACATAGCCCATGTCTCAATATTATAAAAGTACTCCAATTACAGAATACTTAGCCAATTTTAAGCTATAAAAAGGCACAACATCAAGCTTTCTTTTTGCTAAAGCTGGCATAACAATATTTGTTTGTGTTTGTCTGTTGGTTTATAGGGTTGTGGTCATCAGAAGGCTGATTTAAATATAACCACAGACTATTACTTCAAAGCAGGAATCTTCAAATTGGACTATAATGCAGCAGATGCAATCACTGATTTCATGTCATTGCACAGTTCTAAAAAGATAATATGGTTCCTGTTTTCTCACATTTTCACCAAAAAAAAAAGCTCCCGACCTTGAAAAAGCCACCATTTTCCCTCCAATCTTACTGCACCATGTTATACTACTGGCAAGTTATTTTAGAAGCAGCAGGCTATTTTCCTTAGAGCAAAGATTCATTAGGTTTTATTTTATTCTCGTACGCTTCATGCATCCTTCTTACCTTAAAAAAATGTACCTATCTATTTTCCCCTGCATGCCTTGAATCATGACAAAACAGTCTAAATTATTAAATTATATTACAAACAACGATTTGACATCTCTTCCAGACACTTGCCATTAGGAAACTGTACATAGAGCATTTGCCATTACCACTGCTAATCAATCTTGGCTTACAACAGTCACAAAGCTCCACACTTGTTGCGTCTCACATCTGCTGTGACAAAGCTGGATGAGATGCTGTGTAACAAAGATTGGCTGCTCAAAATATGATTCTGACCAATTGTTTTACCTGTGGACATATAAAACTGATATATTCATAAAATAATCCTCTAAAAGCCTGTTTTATTTTAGAGGTAAAATGCTCTCTGTTCGCTCCGGGTAAGCCTCCAGCATTCGATAATCGACTGACACTAGGAGCACATCGATACTGCCTGTCTGGCTTCATCCCAAGTCCCACAGTGATCAACAGTGCCATCTGGAGTTCATGTAAGGCTACAAAGCAACATCAACTAACCAATAACAAGCGTTTGGCAGCACAGATGACACAAACCTGGTCATTATATTTTTCAACATTTGGTCTGATGTGCATCATATTTTAAAACACAGAGAGTGACACTAAACACAACAACCAGAATGTGTGTTTTTACTTCTGACAACACAGTCAGAAAACAGTCAGAATAAATCTACTAGGTTTACATTAAATTATAACAAAAAGGGGACAATGTTCTCTATGCTTCACAACTATTATATACCTCAGGAAAAGCACATCAGAAGATATATACATGTTCCACTCACACAACTGTTTCTAACCTATTTAGGCCATCAGCATTGCATTCATTCATTAACAGCTAGAGCTACTATTCAACAACACTGCAAGCGTTTAAAAGAACTGGCAGGGTGATAAACTGGGCATGCACGTCTAAAATGGAAATGAGCTCTTCAGTATCCCCATGGTGTTTTATTGGGCCAGTTTGTCTCCTTTTAGCCTTCGTTAAGCACATTTAGACTGATGGTGTTACTTTACAAAAACATACTCAATAAAACTGGCCTCCCAGTCACACCACCAGTTAACTGGTAGGAAAAAGTTATATTGATATTTGCCACATGAACAACCTTTCCAAAGTTATTTTCAAAACTACACCATTTTTAGATATCTTACTGAATGATAAAATCAGCAACAGAAAGTAATAAAAACATAGATTAAAAAACAAAACAAAACAACAGTTACTGCAATGTATTACTATTAAATATGCTGCTGCAAGCACAGCTATGGTAACAAATTAGTATGAGAAAGTCATTGTCCTGCATGTGAGCAGAGGGCGCCCTCTGGTGGCTCAATAATACACAAACACAATTAGGCTCTGTGCGTGCTTGTGCGTACTAACCAAGCTGTAGTGAAGTCTCAGTATGGTAATATCCATCTTGTTGCTTCTTTTTCAACATGGAACAAAGGTCCACTCGCTCAACTGTCTGGTCTCCAAAAAACCTGAGTGTGGTAGTGAGAACAGACAAAGGGACAGTTAGAATAGTGCGAGACACAGAGGAGTACGCTGATGCCTCCAGCAGACATTAAAAGGCAGATGTCAGTCATTATAACCACTCGATGACAACAATCACTCAAATTAATTAAAAGTGACAACCAAATTAGAATATACTGGGCCAATGTGTCCATCCTAAAAACTACAAAAGTGGAAACAAAACATTATGCAGCATGGTGCTGTTCAAATAAAATTGTTGTACATTTGAAGTGCAAAGAAAAGTATGCGGTCTTAAACTATATTAAATCATGATACAAAATTGTCTGTTTTATCGTTACTATATATTGCCTAAAAATATTATACTTATATGTACAGTAAGCATGCAGTATGGAGACAATACATTTCACAATGTGTCACAGCACTTATTGCAGAGTACTGACCCCAAACAAGTATTATTTCTTATATTAAAAACCAATCACCTACTTGTTTGTATAGTTGGAGTAGAGGGCTGGGTCCACACGCTTTATACCCTGAGAGACACAAAGGGAAAATGCGGTTTAAATCATGTTTATTATATGAATTGTTTATTAATGAATGTGCACATCCTCAAAAGGATGTGCACATTAATTCTACACACACACACACACACACACACACACACACACACACACACACACACACACACACACACACACACACACACACACACACACACACACACACACACACACAGAAAGAAATATACACACAGACTGATGGAAGACAAGAATGCCGCCTGGGAGACGCCAGGCAGGATGAGATGTCATCAGGTGTCAAAGGAAAAAAAAAAAGTGTCTCTCCACTCCTGACCACTGCTTCTCTGTCTGTCCACTCACCCCTTCACCCCCTAATCCTTCTTATTTATATTCTTATCGACAGATGTTCCAATTCTGTACCATTTTTTCCTTTACGATATGATTGGTGTCACTGTTATGTGGCCTGGCTCAGGTTAGGCCATTCGTCAGAGTAGGGTAGGACTTCGCTATCCTGGGGGAAAAGTGCTGCAAAGTAGCAGTGTCCGGTAAATTACGTGGTATTGGACCCTTATACACCTTTCTTTTAAGTTCATAAACTCTAAAATTATATACATACAAATTTCTTTTTAAATACTACAGCAGGCGTGTTGTTCCCACTAGTAGTTTTGGCAGGAGGAATAATTTCGCAACTATTGGATGACACATTTAATTTCACAGCCACTGAGAGGATGTGAGGGGAATAAAAATGGTGGTTGGTGACAGAGGAGTAACACTGCAGCTGTTTGGCAGTTCTGTCAAAAGTCAGTTGTTACAAGAAAGTAATATAATTGCGACTGCATATGAAAGCACAATTGCGGTGAGTAATACAATGCAAATCTATGCTGACACTGTTCATTAAAAACAAAACCATGCTGTGCAAGTGCAACTTTGTGGTTTTATTTTCTAACTTTTATTTATTCTGTAACTACAGCGATGTTGAACATAACATTGAATTTTAATGACTTCATCACCACTAGGTCTTTAAGTTAGAAAATCAATTACTATTACTAACGACTAACTGTTATATGCGTAGGAAAAAACAAACAGTTAAAAGAAGGTTTATTGATGAGACACTGTATTTCTTTTACCTTAGACAGTTAGGCCTTAGCACGACCTAAAGCAAGTAGTAATGATACTTAAATTACACTGGCAATGACATACTTGTATAAGATAATTAAGACCTAATTACAATCAAATATTGGCAGTAAAAGGTTATGCTGGACTGATAATCGAGTTTTTTAAAGTTGATACTGGCCAACAACAGTATGCTACTATCACTCCGCACTATATAGGTATATACGCTATTGTAATGACCTAACTCTACCCAGAATGTGTTTGTGTAAGCACATGTGTGTGTATACCTGGGATCGTAGTTTTGACGCTCTAGACAGCTTCATAATGGTGAGGTGGGGTTCAAACCCACGATTGTCTCCTTGTAGAAGACCCTGTTCCTCAAAATGGCTCCGCAACAACTCTGCAACACACATACGCAAAGTTTTAAAAAAAAAACACAGGTTTACAAGCAACTATTTAATAAGGCCAAAGAGAGATGCCGTCAGTTCATAATGTTATCATTTAAAGAAGAAATGCGTATGCGGTACACCCACCTCTATGTCCTCCCAATGAACCACCTCAAATCCTCTTTATGGACTTTTGTAAAAGCCAGAACAGAGGACACAAATAGTGCAGACACAGATGGCAGGGAATGTGTGTCAAAAGATGGAACAAAAAGCTTTTTGCTCGTGTACCATTTGACCACGCAGATAAAGACAGATGACATAAACAAGGGCACGAACACATAGACGACCTGCAAGGACAGACACACAGGGACAAAAGACGCACACGCCAACTGATGAGGTTTAGAGGGAAACCACAGGGGTATTTTTAGACGTGGAGCCTTACATAGAGGGAAAGGTTAGTAGATAATCAATAACGGTGGTGGAGGGAGCAGACGAGAGGACTGGAGAGGCTGACTTCCTGCCTTATTATTTTGCTTTGCCAACAGTAAAAACATGGACTTTCTATGTGTTATCTTCTGTTGCTGCTGATTCATTTTTTTTCGTGTCAGGAATATAAATAAAACTCTGTGAATGGATGAAACTACTTGGCACAGTTACTTGTGAAGTAACGAATATCAACACTTATTATACTACACTCCAAAGCCACTACTGTCCTTCACTTCTAAACATTTAATAATAGATATACAAGGTAATACTTTCAACACAGTTTAAAAACTATACACTAACTACACTGAGGTAAGGCCTCTCTAATCATTTTATAAAATGCATTAGCAAGGGGTAAAAACTACTGTGTTAGGTATCACAGCAAGCAAAATAAGTTTGAATACTTAATTATGTAGGAAAAAGTAAAGGCATACTGTAAGGTAATTGGATAGCTGCAATGATTAGTCGATCCATGCTATCAATTAGTTGTTAAGTATTAAATTAACTGCCCACTATTATTTAAAGAAATATGAATATCTTTGATTTGTGGACAAAACAAGACATTTGAGGACGTCACCTTGGGCTTCGGGAAACAGTGACCAACATTTTCCACCATTTTCTGACATATTACGGACCAAACAACTGACTCAAGAAAATGATTGGTGGATTAATCTGCAATGACAAAAATCATTACTTGCCAAAAATGTTTCATAAATGTTCATTTATACAGAAGCATATGGATCTGACGCCCACTGCAAAAACTTGTTTGCTGTTTTGAAGCAGATATGTATTTTATTATTTTAAGGAGTGTTTGACAAGTGCTGACCTGCAGCCGCCGTTTAACAGGTCACACAGGTGGTCAGACTATATTAAAGTGTTACTTTGTTTTTGCCTGTTTTAAAGCCTAACTAGTGCCACACTTTACCACCCAAACGTCAAGATTAAATGAGTAATTGAGCAAAACTAATACTTTCTCAACACACTTCACTGCTTGCTGAAGCCCACACTTAACGGTTAGGGTTGGTTGTGTATGACTTGGTCAATTAAGGAGGGTCTGCCTCTTTTTATGTCAGCTAATATGCGCAGTTTGATGGAGTCGCGTAAATCCAGATCTTAAAAATGTGATGCTGCGTGTTATATATGTCACACCCTCCATCACTACCACGCCCTCTTCTGGTCATTTAGTATGAAAAGCTCATCACTGCATCCTAATTTCTTCACTGACAAAAACATTTCATGCAACTCCAATTAACTCTTTAAGATAAGCTGAGGCAATTATGTAGAACCTGGACTCTTGTGGCTCCATCTCTCCCTCAAAAGATTAATTTATTGCATTTGTATTAAACCCCAAGATTAAATGACTTTTGGGATCCGTGTCAGCTTGGCCATCACTAATATGTCAAATGTGATATTTACTTAGATCTGAGCAGTTAATAAACTGAATGAACTGCTAGGAAATCACACAGAATCCAAACATGCTGCTTCAATACTATATACATGTATCATATAGCACCTTCTGGATCACGTACACATTAATCAGCAAAAGTCCCTCATTTCCTGTTGTGACAAATGCACATGTGTCATTTCAGAAATCACTGCATATTTTGAGATATTTAGAGTGGGAATGGACCGTATTAAGCGTATGTGAGCTCATTTACTTTGTGTACGTGTGTGTTGGTGTTGCAAGAGCAATGGAGCCGGAATCCTCTTAGAAATGGTGGCTTAATGTTGTTGCCAACACAAAAACATACAGGCAAATGCTTCTGCACACACTCCCACACATGCACAAAGATGCAAAGGGACAAATATAAGAAAATAAATGAAGACATATCAAATGTGCAGACCTGGCTACACATACACACACACACACACAGATTGCAGGGAACAGAAAGGAAAGAAAGACAGAGGGGACACAGAAAATCACACAAATACTATATTATTTGACCAAATCCAGTTTGATGGTTTAAGAAACAGGATGTGGGTGCACTGAATATCAAATCAGTGCAAGTGGTGAGCTATTGAATAACTAGATCTTACATCCATCAGGAGACCATATGTTTTTATGAGTTTTATTTTTTTAATCAAAACCACATTTTTACATACTGCGTGTAGTGCATGGTCCCACTGCAGGGCCTAATGGCATAATTTAACTGGGCTTCCACAGGAATGCCCACCCAAATTTGGCACATTTGCCATTTATTTCTAGAATTCTACTGTTTAACCTGCTCTCCAGTTCACTTCAGAACAAAAGTCAGACTTAGATCACCTATGACTGAGACTGTGAGAGTTTGTCAGTTTACCAATAACAACTCCCCAGAATATATCCTACAATCCCTTAGGTCTAATCTGTGACCTCCCATTACAAAGCCCCCACGACAGCAGCCATCCACCCAGTAAAAGTGTCTTTAAGAAAGACAACAAATCCTCCAATCAGCTGCAAGGCACCTCAGCTGACCACCAAGTTCACATGTCCCTCCACGGGGACACAAAAGAGAAGCTACTGTATCATATTATCATCCTCTAATGAAATGTATCCCCAGCATGAGAAGCCATTAGAAAACTACAAGATGAACAAAAATGGAATCCAATAATTACAGAAGTGTTGATGAGGACAGAAGAAGACAGAAAGGACAAAATGACGAAGAGTGAAAAGCTAGAAATCTGCCACTGACCTGCCAGACTGTCCAGTGTGTGTCTGTGCTGTCCGGGGGCCAGTCCGACAAACACCACCTCCTTCCTGAAATGACCGATCCCTGAGAAGGGCAGCACCAGATCCCGCCCACCCAGCAGCTCAACCAATGACGGCTTGACCTGAGCCAGCACGGCTGCCGCCCTGAAAGGAAATATACACATGAATATGCACAACACACACACACACACACACACACACACACACACACACCAATTCACGACTTAATCCCCCCTCTCTCTCTTCCTCTCATATTATATAATCTAGTCATTATTAATGACACAATCTTCTGCTAGATGTAGATTAAACATCAGTTCCCCTGCTGCATTGGGTGGTGACATGAAAAAGCTCTGGTCATATCGAAGCACATTCTGATGAAATGTTAGGATGGTAACTTGGTAGCATTCTTTTCCTCATTTATAATACTAGTTTGGCAATGTCTGTCATTAGGTGGGCCATTGTACCACTACAAATAAAAACAATGATGATTAACTTGGGGGACAATATAACTATTTACATCAAAAAACAAATGGGATGAAATGTATGTAAGAAAACATCCTTCAACAGCGTTATTAAGGCCCATTATTGAGAGACCTTCCAACCAGTTTTCCTGGAAGTGCTGAGACGAAGAGATAAGCAGTATCTAACGAGAATGCTGTGTAATTAGTCACTACAGAACACCGCATCCCTGTCTTCAAGCTGTAACATTAGTCTGTACGTTCACTACTGCAACAAACACAAGCTTTGTTGGGCTATCTGATCCGTCTGATGTTGTGATATTGTCATCACAGAAACTGAATGGGAGAGCATGAGAAAATATGATTGCTGACAGTAAACTAATTTGAGGGGTACTCTGTTTGATTGAAGTTCAATATTTTAGCTGTAGTGTGGGTTATATCCTGTGAGAGCAATAAGGAAAATGGAGAAACCAGGACAAAAGAGAGATTCTGTCACAGATTAGACCCAATCGGTCACTGTAGAAATATAATGTACAGAATGGGTCTGTCTGTGCATGTACTGGATGACTGTGTACATCAGTGGAGGGACAAATCAATATCGCAATATATATTGTCATCTGCGCTCACTTTTATTGATCAGCACCAGTAGGCCATAAGAATAAAATTTGGCATTTAACTATTCACATATGTTCCTGTTGTTGTTTGTGTTATGGCTTAAATTCTAAGCAATTTGGTACACACGGTTTCATCTCAGCTGACCTAAAAAATCATAAGACTGAAAGGTCGATCAGCATGAATCTTGATTTTTGAAAAACAAAAAAAATAAAATAAACATAATCTGGCTAATTACATGAGAGATTTTCCTCTTCAGTTACACAGATAGTCATGTTTTGTATACAACTGTCTTTCAATGCATTTTGTGTCAAGGAATTACCCATGTTGCGATGTCACTATTATTAAAAAAATATTGTGATGCTATGAGAACTTAAGAACTTATCTTAAGTGTTACCAGTGATACTAATTAAGGCTCTGTTCCATTTAGTGCAGCAGAGCCTTTCCACTGAGCCAACATGCACAATAGCAGCACCCTGACTCTGTTTGACCTGAATGAACAGAACCTTAATTAGTCTCACACCTGGGTTTACCCTATTATTAAATGTGAAAAATGGCTGCTGTGAATTGTTGTTAATGTTATTAGTAACACCTGTGCTTTTCCTGCTATCGCAAGTCAAAATGCTGTGAAAACATTTGGCATTATTTTACTGTACTGTAGCTTCTAACATTTAAAATTTCCCAAATTCATCCCAAAAGTGCCGAAGCCACAATTACTGACTGCAGGTATCTTTCCATTTTTTGAGTTATTAATGTTATACATTTCTACTGTAGTTTGTGTTTGATAAGTCATAGGTAACTTCATTTCAGGGGTGTGACAGTGTGTATGAATATTACCGAGCCAATCAGGGACTGATGTGTGTGGTTGTGTTTATGTGGGCACATGCATCCACTCACAGATCCACTTGCTCCTGATTGGCGAGATGAGTGACTAATAGCGTGATGTGGAGAGTCGGGACAGGGATCATGGCTTTGGCCAGTCGGGGCTCCTGCTGAAGCACCGTCTCTTGGACCTCGGCCACAGCTGAACTGATCTGTCATTGGACAAAATTGACCTGACCATCAGTTACAATAAGGAAGATGCTCACCACCACTCCTTTCCTTACGAGAACTGGTCGTGGTGAGGAGGAGGTTCAAAGGAGGAGAAACTAGGGCAACTTCTGCAGTTCAACATCACAGATGAGGCATCAATAGATGACGACCATGGGTTAAATCGATGTCCAATCAGAGGAGCTTTAAGGTTGGTCAATAAGCATCTGCCAGGTAGTTGAATCTTGAAGGTTTTTTCCATAAAAGATTTTCTCCCAGTATAGATTGAGCTACACTGACCACTGAATTCATCAATAGTCTGGAGAGAACAGATGAAAGTCTTCTCCTCCCTTTGAGGGTGTCTGAAACAAGTTCTCTTATCTTCTCCACTATTGTTAACCCACAAGGAGTCAGTCATTAGTTCCCTGCTCCACCTTTTTTTCTTGAATGATCACATTTTGTAGTTTTAAGCTAATTTACAACAAGCAAACATAAAAGTTGAGTCAAACTCATATTTATTTATAATTTCACATAATTATATATGGTAGCTATTAGAGCTGAAACAATTACAAGATTAATTACTTAATTAATCATTTGACTGAAAATAAAAAATATCTGATGAATAAATGGGGTACAATGTGCACAAACTCCAGAGGGATCCTTAAAGTACACAAGTAAGTGAACGGTACAGTAATTCTTTACCTGTGTGTTAGTGATGGGGATGGAGACAAAATAGTTGGGCCGCTGGCTCTCTTTCTTTTTCTTCTTCTTCTCTGCATCCTCTTCACTGTCCACTCGCCCTCCACTGTCTCCCCTCTTCCTCTTCCTCTTCTTCTGGGTTGACTCTTGGCTGGGGACTGGAAAGAAAGGGCAGCTCACCATAGTGACCTACACTTTGCTGACATTTTATGAAGTACACTGAAGTAAACTACTGCAGTCTAATACAACAGTCCTGTAACAAATCGTACCATCATGAAGGTATACATTTACTACATACACAGACAATAAAAAACACATCTGGCACGTGTGCGATAGGTGGAGGCACAACTTTGTTAGTGAGTAAATCAGACCTGCTGCCTTTAACCTTGTACAGGGAGTTATAAAAAATACTAACTTTTAATTCAAAGAACCATTAAAAAATCATGTTAAGAATATACACACATCCTAGCTCTTTCCATGTGGTGGGGCTGGTCAGAGAAAACGGAAGCTCTGACATTAAATTGTCTGAAGTATCAGCCGACTTGAGCTTTTTCTTCTTCTCCCTCCTCATCTTCCTCTTTGTGTTCTTCTCACTTGATGCTGCTGAAGAAAATAAATACATTACAATAACACAAAAGCACACAATGGAGAGCATTCATACACATGGGGTATGTGCACAGGTGATGGGCCTGGTTCAAGAACACAATAAACCTCCTTACTTGCTGCCTGTGGTTATGCCTCCTTATTCCTTTAAAATATTGGTGGTAAGTTCACCAAAAACTGTGACAGATCCTGTGGTAACACTTCTTTATGAGGATGAGTTGTACTAAGGTATACCTAAAGCAGCAAAATATTAGTGGAGCAACATAATAAATTGTTTAACTGATGTTTAGTTAAGGAGAGAAAATATACAGGAGAAATATGTGTTTGCCTGTCTCTACTGTTTGTCATGCTGTCAGTACACCTGAGTTTTTGTTTTGTTGCCACATGAACAGCAAGCGCAATTATGTATGCCAATTTTAAATTGTGTGTGAACTATAGATGGATGGATGATATTGACGCTTCAGAGGTTGATTCACTCCTGTGAAGGGAACTGTTTCAATACATTTTATCTGAGCTTGTGTCAAATGGAGAACACTGTGACGTCCAAAGCTTCAAACAGCACTGGTGCTTCAGAAGGTGCTTCAATGAGTTAGCGAGTTTTGAAAGTTTTTAACTTAATCCATGTCACAGACATTACTGAGACAGAAAGAGAGGACATAACTGAGAAATACTGTGATATACAGTAGAAAGACACAATCTTAAATATAGAAAGATAGGCTAATTTAAAGGATATTACTATTCTCTATTCTACAATCACATATTGTGACTCATGTCCAATAAAAGTCACATCACATGGTGTTATTGTGCCTTAGTCTTGAGGGGCTTTTGGAAGTCCCCAGATGTCACAGTACTGGCTTTGTTTGGAATATAAAGCTACAAATCTTTTTCGAAAACAAATAAAAAAAAGAAGCCCTAAAGCTTCATGCAGCTTCATCCACCCATCACCAGTGTAAACTCCATCCAGTGTATCCATCCATCCACCCAGTACAAAGTGGCACTGTGTTAACTGAAACAGCTCAACAAATGGTGAATTAATGTTTGTCAGAATCTGAGCTGTACTCACCTGACACTGTGGAAACTCCAGTCTCCTCTTGCTGGACCTCCATGCTGACTGTCTGCACCGGACCTGAAACCATCATCGTCTTCTTCTTCTTCTTCTTCTTCAGCTCCTCACTTTCTGTCTGACTCTCCTGTCCAACCACACCTTTACCACCACCACCACCCTCATCATCTTCATCATCATCCTCCTCCTCCTCCTCTAAGGAAACCGCAGTGGCCTCTTTGCCATAGGAGATATTGGCTGCCTGCATATCACACACTGCTAGCTGACAGAGACAGGAATCATATAACCAGGTCACCACAATCACCAGCACGTTGTATTTAGTAGGAAACTGAGGTGAGGACAACAAGACTTTTTTTTTAACTTTAATTTCATTACCTTAAGTCTGAACCGGTGTGCAGACAGCTTAAGCGCGCTCACGTTACTGACGTTATTAGTAGAAATGGGACGCAGCCTCCGCACTGATACTTCACTGGCAGACAAAAACTTCTGTAAACCAAAAAACTTCTGTAAACCAACACTTTCTGAACACGTCGACCGGATCGGACTCAACAGGACGCGGCCGATGAGCATGACACACAAACTTTAGCTAACGTGCAACCGACGTAAACAGCAGGCTCACTGAACAGAGGTTACAGCTAACTACCGAAAAAATAAGAGAATATACGCCTACAAGTCTCGTCGGAATAGTTACCGATGAGAAACCTCCAGAGACGGACTTTGCCCCACTGTAGCTAACACCTGTTGAAATGAATCAAACATCAGAACATCTGTGGAGCTGTTAGCTAACTGTTAGCTCGCTGTCGCTCACAGAGTTGAACAGCTAATTAGCCAAACTAACCGGGACATCATTTTGATAAGTTGTCATTACGTTGTGTGTGCAGGAAGTTCCCTGGCGGAAGTCATTGTAAAAAAATAAATAAATAAACAAACAAATAACGGAAAATAACAGTTAGCTCCACGGCACGCGCTAAATTAGAATGCCGACCGGAAGCTGCTTCTGTTTGTAAACAATGTCAAACTTCCGGCCTGGTTTTTCAGAGCAAAAGAGCTTTTCACTTACCAGGATAAAAGCATCAGGCACTTGACCTATTAAACGTTATTATTAACTTGAATAATGAATCAGTTGTTTTGGTGAATGTAATAAATTTAATCCAATAGGTGGGGCTGTATTTAGACACCTTGGAGTCAACGAGAGGAATCATTATATCATTTCTGTGTGTGGTCACATATGATGCTATTTAAACAGATTAAAATATTTTAAAAAGGACTATATACAAAATGATTAGACCCATACTTGCAGTTTATTTAAAGTATTCGGGATGTTAATCATCACACCTTATATGCTTTCTGCAACCAGATTTTACAATAAGGTACAGACAAATTTCCCATTCATGCTTTATCTTTATTTTTTACATCAGTTGTTAAGTATCTGTCCAAGATAAATAAACAACCCTTTGGCTAGTTACTGGGCTTTGTGGCCTTTGCACTCTTTTATCACTTACTGTAGTTTCAAGTCTTAATATATATTTAAAAAAAAACAAGAAATTGTTAATATCATCATTAGAATAGAAAGGAAATTACAAAGATCAACAGCAGCACAACAGTCAAGGCTGTGTGTACACTCATTGCTTGTTTTCATTACAAAGCACAAATCTATTGCACACAATCAACATGTACAGTGTTTTTGTAGTGAATGGAGAACTGAACACATTTGATTAAAGGAATTTTATTATAAGGTGGTTACATTTGAACTCACTTTAAACCAACATTCAAATGCTCAATTAAATTTTTTTCCTGTTATCTATAAAGTCTGACTGATATTTAAGAGGTTTTGAACAGAAAACACAAGTTATATGATATAGCTTTAGAAATTCAATAGTTGGTCAAGTGTGCAGAATGTGGTAATAAGCTATGTGTGCCCATCATTAACATGAAGACCACTTTCAGCAGCTGATTTAAATTTACCAACCAGAATAAAATGTTTTCTGCAAACAGTAAATAGTGTAAACTGATCAGTTTTGCTGCTTTATTTGCTGTTGATGTGATCTATTACATATTGTTTTACTTGTAATGCAAGCTGAAATAATACCATCATGACCAACCCCAACACTGCCAACTCTACTTATGCCCAAAAACATACTTGTAAAGACTGCTCCCACTTTCAGAAGCCTTGTTCTTGCTGCCATGTCTAACAGGAGTATTACCAGTCCTGCCACTTTCAGTGACCACACCCTGGGCATTTCCGAGCATTACATTATCTTCATGTGTTGGAGTTTTGTATTCCAGTAATTTCTTTCGTATATCAGAGACAGCCACATTATTTTCTTGACATATGAGCAATCCATTCCTTGTCTCATGGTAGAAAGCATTAACACACAACACAACCTTAGGGTCATGAGACCATGTTCTCACAGGTGATATGTACTTGGGCTCACGTGAGTAGTTCATCACCACCAGAATGACAGGTTTATCATCTGTGGACAGTGAAAGAAAGGAGGCAGTATGAGATAGTGAGGATGGAAAACTGTAGCTTGGAGCTTAAAATTTAAATTAAAAAAATTCTAAGGACTGATCATGAATGATAATCCAAAGTTTTATATTGTAATTGTACCAAACAATTCTCTTTTAACAATACATATATATCTTGATAACTTTAATTTTATAAGTAAAAAACATGTAATTCCAAGCTCGCAGAATGAAAACTGAAGATTAAAACTAATTATATGCAATTACCATTTCCACCTTTTCATTACCTTTGACATCACTCATGGCTGCATCAACATCCGCCCCAATGCGTGAGCTGATTGGGCAGAAGACGATGTTGATCTGGTGATCCAAACTGTTGTTAACAAACTGAACCTGATCGCAAACTTGATCCTCCAACACTTTCTCCATCAGCTGTGCATGGGCACCCAAGGTTCTACCACTGACAACTGTCCGGTAGGTCACTGTGGCTATAGAAAAAAAATTATTGTGTAACTAACACAGATTTATATATTTAATACATACATACATTTATAAATTATAAACAGTAATCTCTTATTACAACCACTATCATAACACTAAAATAGATTGTGTACAATATTGCTATGAGGAATGTTATTAGTTATCACTTCTCTTTAGGATACTAGCACATCTAAGAGGCTCCAGGAGAGACATCAACCTACCTTTCAACTGCTGAGTGTGAGCAGAAAATTGCGGTACTCAAACAAATGAAGCACATTAATGGTGCTGCTGTTGTAAACATTAACAAACATTAACATGAGAAAATAGTATTTCACTCTTGGAAGGGGAAGAAAGTTAGCTTTACCAGGAGGTGTTGGTGGAAGGCCAAGAGTTGGGGAAGAGTACAAACCACCAGCGGCTGAGGTTCCCGTAGAGTCTGTTGCACAAAATAACATAAATGCACTTACTGACTCCAAAACTTACAGCATATGATTTCAAAATCAGCTCATAAACATGTCATAAAAGTGTGAAGAGGAAGAAAAAGAGGTTTACCTTGTGGTCCATATGAACAGCCACCAGTTTGAGTGATGGGTGAGGTACTTGTGCTTGGAAATGAGCCTGTTAGGTACAATGGCATAATGCAATTACTGACCCAAAATATTATAAAGTGGATTAACTTAACATCTTAATGTAGGACATTCGTGAATACAGAATGAATACACTAAATTGGTAGACAGATGTTTACCCTGCAAGCAGAAGGCCACGGTCTGTCTAAACGCAAAGTTCACATACTAGCCTTTGCCAGAGCTTTTGACTGTATCCAACAGCCTTCTCAGGCACAGTACACAACTTCAGTCATGGTAAGTGCTATGTGGCTAGATGTTGTCACAGCAGTGGGTTTTGAAATGACATCTCAGAAGTTACATTTGCTGAATAAGGCAGTCGGATATAGTGGAAAGCTCAGGAAAAAAAGAACAAAATCCCTTCACTGTAAGCTGAAGTAGGCTTCCCCATGTTAAGGCTTTGAATCTGCTTTTGATTTATCAGATTAAAGGTTCAGTTTCCTCATCCTCCTGTTTTCTCTTTCTTATGCACTTAGATATTAAAATAAAAAAAAACTGCATTATAACCTTTGTTAGGTTCTTGATCTGGCTGATCTGTGCTTAATTCTTCCAGAAGACCAATGTGAGCATCAAGGAAACCCTGGACATTATTCATCTGGGTCTTCATGTCCTTCAGGATTCGGAGGTAATCAGCCAAGACCCCATTGCTAGTTAGAGCCGCTGAAGGGAGAGAATCAGGTTGTGTGTGTTAGAATTTGGGTGACGATATACAACATATATCACACCAACACGGTCCAAAAAACACAAAGCAGAATAGCTTTCAAATGTGAAATTAAGAGTAGCTGCAAGCAAGGCTGTACATACCTCTGAAAGATTCAAGTGGGATGAAAGCTTTCAGTTCACTTATAAGCTCATCAGTTGGCTTCTGAAACAAAAATATTCTATTTCAGAATAATCCTCATGGAGCATTTGACGTGTACATTGTACAACTCAAGGTAACTATTTTCTATCTATGTTATTTATCAGTTTCAATCTCATTCTAATCAGTATTAGACATTTTAACCTGTTAGCTCACCTGTTCGTGTATTATTTTGAAGATGCTCCTTCTCAGTTTGAAGTTCTTAGATCCAGGAAACAGCTCAGTCAGTTCTTCTCGAGTCAGTGACTGGATATCCAGGTCAGTGCGTACATCTGCGTCTGCAACAAGAGGTTTGGTGTTCAATCACTGGGAACATTTCGGTTGACGATAACGAACGCAGCAAGATTTGGTGGTGGAAGAAGTATTCATATTAATTAAGTAAAAGTAACACTACTCCACCACAAGTAAAACTCCTGCATTCAAAACCCCACTCCAATCCAATAGGGGTTTAATTAGCTAAAAGGCAGAATGGGTACGATTTGTTGGTTGGTGTTTGTAAAACTTGGACCCTCCTTCCCAGCTCAGCAAGCACGATAGAAAGAGAGAGAGAGCAGCAGTGTATGAGCTTGAGAATGAAGGAAGGAATGAAGAGGAGGAATGAAGAGAAGGAGTGGCGTTAGTGAAAACAAAGCAGAGAATCAGATACATTTTTTATTTTAAATATTTTCTGGCCACACCTCTGCACAACCCTGCAGGAAGGTTTTGTGCAGAAGGGAAAGCTTCACTCTGCCTGCTGTGGCCTCTCAGCCCCGCCCTTGGTCAAACGGTGAACAGATTCACAGACCTGCAGCTCTTTATACATCCATGACACAGACAGAGAGTTAGTGGCTGGGGGCAAGAACCCAAGAAAATACAGGCAGAGGGCAGGGTCTCTGCAGATCTATGAGATCTATACATTGGTTTTAGGAAAATCCCACACATTCTGGCTTTGAAAATAAAAGTCACCAACTTTGGACTTTGTTTTCTCTGGACAGGAAGGGTATAAAATAATTGTAATCTGAAAACTCACTAGTAACTAAAGCTGTCAGACAAGTGTAACAGTGAGTAGAAAGTACAATATTTGACTCTGAGATGTAGTGGAGTACAAGTACAAAGTAGCATAGTACCTCATAGTACATCAGTGCCTCAAAGCTGTACTAGTCTACAGTACTTGAGTAAATGTACTCAGTTACATTTCAGCACAACAATTCTGTTTACCAGATAAAGTATTCTTTTTCTGTGTTTATGAAACTGAACCCACACTTTCTGTTTGATACACTGTTTGATACGGCCACTTACCTTCCAATACCTTGGCTGCTGATTGGTTGGTACGCCTTATTTTCAGCAGTAAAACTGACATGACTTCACCTGTAAAGAGAGAAGACACAAACATAGAAAAAGGTTAAATTATTACATGTATTTCAACGTATGTTATAGCCTATGCTTGAGTGTATATATACGCAAGAGAAGGCGGTGGGAGGAAAGAGAAAGACAAACCTTTGAGCTGATCTTTAATAACAAACAGCTGCAGCCGCTATTACTCAAGTTAGCTGTCAATTATTTAACCAAAATAAAAGTATTGTAGATCGTATGTCTGCCCTATTGTACGATGGTAAAAATGAAACTCACAGTTTACGGTCAAGAGAAAGTGAAAGTAAAAAAAAAAAAATGGGTCGTTTCCTCACGTCATGACGTAGAGGACGCTTCAAACACTCATTGGTCGCCGCTCAGAAACTCACATTCACATTTTTAAAAGGTTCATTCAGCTGCTGTGACCTCCAGGCTGCCGCTGATCACAGATCCATTATTCTTCCAGGTCTGAGCCGGCATCATGTTTCAGTAACCCAGCCTGGTCATATTTTCTCTAGCAAAGCCAGTAGGGTGCAGCACTGCACCGCACTGCAACACCGCAACCTGCTGGAATACATGTAATTCAATATCAGATGAGCTTCAGTTACACACTTGTTGGCATTTTCTAAAGGGATATTCTTTGCTCTGTAGGGGTGTATCAATATTTTGGATACCAGTAGTGCTCAGTTTCAAGAATCAAGACGTTGTCTGAAATAAGAATCAGAGGACCGAAATCAGTTCATCAGTTTGCTGTTTTGTATATGATTTTCCGGGGGGTATTTTGAACATCTACTCTCAGCTCGTTAAACTTTCTGCTGCTTTTAAAGCGTTATTATTGAAGCCCAACCCAACTCCAGATGCTTTTATACACAATATCATAATCATTTAAATGAAAAAACTAAACAAAAAACACTTTTGGGCCATCTAGGCCAGAATTAACACTGATTACACTGACATTACATTATATTTGTCAATATATGTTAACATGTTGTAAGATCAAAATCAAGAACTCCCTTGATTCACTGTAAATGATGTGATAGAAAACAAAATCAGTCATTATTTCTTGCAGTGGTCAACTGATATGGGTTTTTCACTGGCTGATGCCGATATTTAGAGAGCAAGGCTGCCGATGGCCAATATATAATACAGATATCAAAGCAAAAAAAAACAAATCATGCATAATTTTATTTTGTCCTATAGTAAAATCATGCATATGTTTACAGGAGGATGCATTAGAATTACAGTACAACTTTTTCTCCACCTTTCCAAAACTCACAACAGCTTTCCACAGCAGCCACACTGACAAGGCTGACTGCAGATGTGTCTGAAGACATTTTTTTTGTCTATCGGCAGCGTGAGCGCAGACATTGGCCGAAGCAGATTATCTTAAAATGCCAAATAATCAGCCCGATTAATCGGTCTATCGCTAATTTCTTGTGTTGCAAGTTACAATCTCCTTGCTCTGCATCGTACATGTTGTGTGTGGGTATTTATGTTTCCTGCTTGCTTCTCTGCCAGCTTGGACAGCTACGGTCCCACCAGAAACCTTGGACAGTTCTCCCCTTAGACAAATTGTATGTTCTCTCTTTATAAATAAAGAGAAGTAAAGAAACCAAAAGCCGGTCTATGTGTTTGTCTGTTGTGTCCAATGTCATGCGACAGTTTGTCTGCAGGTGCTGGAAGCTGAGTCTAGCATTGGAGGCCTGTTGTCAGACTCTGACAGTAGGTGAAGTGTTTTTCCCTCCTGTGTCAGACTACCGTGTGCCTTTCTGCAGGGGGTGAGACAGCTCCTGGTGACTCTGCTTGGTCTCCTTTATGTATGATGGTGGAATAAAAGACAGTTTTGTGTGGATCTGACTGTGTAACATTATGCTGTCTGTGTAATGACACGCAGAGTCTGTTTGAGACTGTGAGAATATGTGACTACTCCTTCAGCTGCTTAAGACGGGCAGCTGAGATGGTTTCGATGTAAGATTAAGTCTTTTGAAGCCTCTTCAGTGGCATCTTTGAACAGAACACAGACATTAATTATGTCAATAGAAGGATTAAAGCTTTATTTGCGATGTGTACATCTGAAGTGTTTGGATATTTTCAGTCTTTTCATGTAATTGTTGGTTCGGTGTCCTTCACTATTTTTCCAAGCAGTTGCAAACTTTAGCCAGAAGATGGTAATCAGGTATCAGAAGTCCATCTGTTTGATTCAGCAAATGCAGGAGTCTTACTAGAGAAGTTTCAGGGGATGATTTGGCCTCCAGCCTAACTTTCAGATCATGCCAACTCTGCAGTGCATCAGCAGATTTAAGGATGGAGCCAACGGTTAACACAAACAGATGTCTCAGCCTTACTTGCTGGTCTCATTTACGACTATCAAGATTACATCAAACATGTTTGATTCTGAGTCAGTGAGTATAAGATGTATTTATAGAGCACTTTTCAAATCAAAAGCGCTTCACAATGAAAAGCATCCAGCATAAAATATCAAGCCAGCAGGATGGTAACAAACAACATTTAACAAAACAGAAACAACAAAAAGAGCAAATACTGAAGGAAGTCTGACAAGATTTTTTAATAATGAGATCAACACTTTTCCAAACCCAAGTTAAAAAGTTATTCAAACAAGGCAGCAAAAAACAATCAATAAATTATGAAATAGTTAGTAAAAAGAGATAAAAACCAGTAACTCAAGTAATCCAAGATCAATGCAAATAGATAAAAAAGGTGATTTGGGTCAGATACAATTTAAAAACTCATGTATAATCAAGATAAGCTAAAAGTATGTTTTAAAAAAATTTAATCTGGGCGTCTGGAACAGATAAAATACCTCAAACCACAGACTGATGGCAATGATACTAAAAGGTCAGAAACAAGAGGCCACAAAGAGCCTGAAAAAAATCTATTCTAAAAACTGCTGGCCAGAGTAAAGAGGTTTAAACAGGTGTGATGTGGTCAGGCGTCTTGGTGCTGGTTAAAAGCCAGACAGCTGACTTTGGTGCACTCTGTAGTCGATTGATAGAAGTAAAAAGGCTGTTGCCATAATCAAAGCATGAGGACATAAAAGCATGTAAAGAAAGAAAAGAAAGGCTCTGTGTCTTTAAAACTTAAAATTGATTGATTTTTAAATATTTCTAAGATAATAAAAACACAATTGAGCAAGCTTTTGTGGTCTGCTGCTTGAAACTTGAAACTATTGAACAAAACACCAAGATTTCTTGCAGAAGACTGCAGATATAAGATCTCCCTTCATTTTAAGCCAAGCTCTGAGAACATCCTGTTAGACGCTGGTTGTACACATAAAATCCTCTGCTTGCCCCATCATCTATTCTACAGTGCAGAGTTGATTTTGGATGCTGGAACACAAAGGTGAATGCAAAGCAAATTGACACAGGCAGAAATGTTTGTGTATGAGATTAGAATTTGACAGATCAACATATCAGACTCTTGTTTAGTTTGGATCTAGTCATGATAACAGGATTATATGCGCACTTCAGTTACTTTACTGAACAGCAGTGGAGTGAAACAGTAGCATCTAGGCAAATAATAAAACAGGTGTGGGTGTTTTCTCTGCCATAGTTCCCCATACAGGCAATACCTCCAGTCTTCTGGCAGCACCAACTAAAACAAAGGTGAGGAGACAAATGTTCTTCTAATAATTCCTTCAGGGAGGTGGGACTGAGTTGCAAGACAGTAAAACATCAGGAACTAAGGAACAGAAGATAAAACACACATTACCGAACCACACCAGTCGCTGTACTGGAGGGTTTTTAACAGGCGCAACCTTGTGAGTACTTTGTGTGTCTGTGTCATCAAGCCAAAATGTGGTCCTGGAGGCACATACTGTTGCGATAACTACCACAGAGGTGATTTTGAGCACTTTGCCAGGTGTTTATATCTCTGTGGACAGATTGTGTCAACACCTTAGCTTCACGATCGTGCAAGATGCAGTCGCAAAACTTTACAGGTGTGTAGTTGAGATCAAAATGAAATCAGAGATCCGACCCATAAGTACTCAGTACTCATGTCATAATGTAGTAATGACTACCAACTACAACCACAGAACATAAACATGTTGACAGGCTGGTGTGATCCCATTGCAAGATGGTCTTGTTTGTTTTGCTGCCAATTATTGCATAAAATACATCTAATTTGGGGGGAAAAATGTACTATACAGGGACAGTGCACATTAAATGAAATCCAAAAGATGATTTAAAATCTGCCTTATTAATAATATTGACATTCTCTACAATTATGCAAATTCGAGATTACAATTTCATCAGAGCTGCCAAAAAAGAAAAACTATGACTATGCAACAATTAGAGAAGAAATGCCTCTTCCTGTGTGTGCATACTGGAACGAGCAGATGTTGACCTTTGGATGTTTTACACAAAGAATGGAAAGACAGAGTCGAGAAGAAGAAATTCTTATGCATTTGTTTCTTTGATATGAATGGGGAATGAGATAAGGAAAGATGAGTCGATGCTGTTAAACAGGGACCCAATGATGCAACTCATGCTCCTTCACACCAGGAGTCTGATCTTTCCCTCTTAACACGCTCAATTATCGCAAAATGTGATTTTCTCTCAACTAGGCACAAGCAACATGTTAGATTAAAAGTCAGGGCTTTGTAGGCACACACACACACACACACACACACACACACACACACACACACACACACACACACACACACACACACTTGCTCACAGTCACAGACATTGCCCTCAGTTATTATGCATTCATAAATCAAAAGGTTGTGACGGGAATTAATCTAAAACGATGGTGAGTGTAAGTCACCGGATGCAAATATGACAGCTTTATTAGAAAACTAGATTGCTTGAATTTGTCTGAATTAATGTGACACTTTTTTTTGATTAAACACCCCCCCCCCCCGACACACACACACACACACACACACACACACACACACACACACACACACACACACACTCCCCTCGCTGACTGAGTTGGGGCTGAAGGGGGAGGTGAAATAGGCAACAGCAGAAAAAAAGAGGTGGTTCATGCTCCCAACACAGCAAAACTTTTTAATTATCTTTAAGTATGTTTATAGAATGAGCAGAAATAATTCATTCTGAATAAGTCCATACCACAGACTGTCTGTGATCCAAACAAATTGAGAAAATTGTCACAGTAAGAGTGCTTTCAGCTAAAGGATAACATCAGCATGCTAATATGCTCACAATGACTAACATGCCGATGTTTAACAGGTATAATGGTTACAGTAATGTAAGTAATTACCATTTGCTAATTAGGGCCTAACACAATTCAGCTGAAGCTGATAGGAATGACATTAGTTT